GGGTCACAATTAAAAGAACATGTTAACAGACAGGCAATAAAACCTGATATAGGCAACAAATCAGAATAGGAAATCAAGACCTGACAGTGTAAACGGGGCCTAAGTGATTCTGTCGTGAAATAGGTCGGATGTCCATATCCGATCACATGATAGGAAATCAGGCCCGAATATGCGGTTTCGCACTCGATCGTAATCGGATGTTAGGTTCCAATCAAGACTCGTATATTCTCATTATTTTTTAACTCATCTATAGTTTTATGCAGTGGGATAGGGTTAGACCTCTTTCTTGTCTTTACACAGAAACAGAGACGCTATTGGTTAAACGCCGGTAAATTAGAACATGAAAGCAGCTTGAGGCGGGATAGTGCAGTATGTGATGAAGTCTAGATGATTGACAGCTGTGGATTATAGCATCATTTTTGTGACACTGTATAACAATAATTATTATTTTTACAGTACTGTGACGGTCGGGCTGGGGTAGAGGGAGATCTTAAAAATTAAATTTATTGGGTATTTTATTTAATAACATCAATAATACTCAGTACAACTACTGTTTTGACGTTACTGTGACAGTTGGGTTTAGGTGTAGATGTAATGAAAACAATTAATGGGAAATTTAACGAATAATATAAGTAATTATTTTAAATAACTTCCGGCCACAACTGTATCTGATCAAGCAACAGCCCAAGTATGTCTGCGATCTGGAGGTATTATAAAGTTGATGACGACAACATTGCCATAGAAAACTGTGAGATGTGTAAACTTCTGATTGCAAGAGGTGAAGAATTGATGTTATTTATTTCTTGATTGTTCAAGCTATCTCACAGTGCTCTGTTTGTTAATAGAGTTATTGAATGTTCAAATAAAGTGAGGTAAATAAAAAATAAGGAACATCCTGGATAATTTTTTTTGCTCTTCTTTATTCTTTTTTTACATATAGAAGTATCGGATTGGGTTTCGGTATCGGTAGATACTCAAAGTCAAGTGACTCGAACTCGAGGGCAAAAAACCTGAACTGGACATCCCATATTCACATAATGCATCTTTAGAGCGCACAAGTTTTTTTTTTTTTTTTTCCAATGCAGATGCACTGCTGGCTTGCAAACATGTATTCCAGGCTCCTAGTTGAAAACATTTCAACATTTTTCAGCTGCAACAAAAACTGAAGGTTTACCTTCATACTTTGTATGGGATATACACTTTTTTGATTGACTCATTACCGCAGACAAACACAGAACACCCAAACACCAAACTTTTGAATGTTTTGTTAGTTTATCATCCTGTGAGAAAATGGTTGATGGTTCCCTAGTAAAGACAAAGGAGTGCAAGTGCAAGTAGCATTGAAAATATGCCTTTCATGCGATTTTAGCTGCAATAAGTGACAGGTCTTACAATGTACCTAGTTTTGCAATACATCAGCCGTTCTATGTCCAAAGTAATCCCACACCACAGATGTTGACTGTTTTAGCCCAAATCCTACTGTGCTGAAGTCATCATCCCTGTTTATGCAGGCTATATGTCTTTAGGCTCAGTCTCCCCTTTTTGTGCTCTGTTTAGGCGCGCTGCGTTATGAATCGTGCTATCAGGTGATTTAGAAATTGAGCACGTCCTACGTGTTTACAATTCTGACAATTGATTTCTTCTGATTATAAAATACAAACTATTACTATTGCTACAGAGCTAGACTGTCACACACATATACTGTATACAAATATAAAGTATTAGAATAAAACAGATTTGGTTTTCACCATTTTAAAAACCTGACAGCCCAAATTCCTATTCACTTTCATCATACAAAAATGGAGCCTAAAAATTCTGCTACAGTTTCATATGTATATAGTTCTAAAACATTTGCATGACAGTGAGAAACTGGTGACATAATCTTCATATGTGAGTGATCTATTTTTTTTTAAACACTGGCAGAACCACAAGTTCCCACATAATCTTCCTTTCTCTTTCAGTCTGCAATCGTAATGTAGGGCATATTTGGTAAAAATGGAAAGCCTTTGATCTATTATTCATTTTACTCTTTCAAGTTTGTATGTATATGCCTGTAAAGCAAGTGCCAAGCTAAAAATATGAGCAAACACAGATGTGTTTTCCAGAATGGCTGCACGTTTATTACGCTGTTTGATTTTTATAGAGTGATGTTAAAGGGGGTGTAGAGTGAAAATCATACTTTTACTATGTTTAAGTGCACTAATTTGATGCCCAGTCCATCTACCTGCACAGAACATGTTAAAAAATAGAAAAATCTGGTAAATTTGTTTTTTGTAAGCTTTTCTCTAAAAGCATATGGTAAAAAAATACAGCATTTAGATTACACTGCTCTAGTTTTTGTAGAAATGTTGGATATTTCTTGCTTTTAATATGCATGTTTCCATCCTCAGTGCCACTACAGCAGCCATTCCTGATTACTCACTGTAGCAGCTCAAGATTGTCATCGTATGAATCAGTATAAAAAAGCAGTACAGCAAAACAAAAAAACAAAAAAAGATTACAAATGTAAACAGAAATTAGCTCATTTTATGAATATTAATAATCAACAATAATGGTTTATTCTTTATTATTAATATTCCGGCTTAAGCTTCGGTCAATTTGGTCAAACAAACATGTGATTGTATATGATTCTGCCCGCTTGACCAAGCGGACTCTGATTATGAATATTAATTATCAACAATAACAAATTATTATTAATCATTAACATTCTGGATTAATTTATTGTTAATTTGACCAAACAAACATAACCAGAACCGCCGCTCTTCCAAGCGGATACGGTAATGATCTATTCATTTCGAAAAGGGAATTATTGCTACTTCTTGAGAAGTAGATTAATCATTCATAAGTTTTAATCAACTTATAACAGCTAGGCAGGGGAATCTGTCTTTCAGTGACTTTTTCTGTGAGGCAAACAATACAACTCATTTGATTATAATAGGATTTATTGACTAGTCAGACAGACAACGAACAAACGCACGACCATACATAAAACATAGAACAAAGGTAAACCATGTGGAGATAGGCTATACAGGTCTATGGAACATGTAACAATAAAGAAAAATAGTAAAGCGAGGAAATAGAGATTTCAGATAAAGAGTGACAAATCTGTTTCAGTTCCACACACACCATTAAGGATCACCAAGATTATAAAAACACCTTTTTGATAAAAGGGGCACAGCTTATTCGCAAAACTAAAAACAAGTTCTCTGGAAAAGCTCTAGATAACGAAAGGTGTCACGGATACTCAGACTTTGTGGCACCAGGAGTCGTGAAAACCCACACAAGAGACTCCTTAATAAAATCAATAATTAAGTTCATCTATGGACTGTACGCAACACAAATATTATGATGTTAATGAACCGCATAAGAGTCTCCATTGACTCCCAAAATCTGAGCCGCTGAGGATGCTGTTGAAATTCCCTTTTTGAAGGAAATGTGCTGAAGAGTGTGGTCAAAAAATTTGACGAGGGTCAATTCAACACTGTTTCTGAACGAACAGGTCACTATGAGCGCTTCAAACTCTAAATCTAGTATGTAGCTTGACATTTTGAGTCCTTTTCCAAATGTCCATTTTGAAAGTGTTTTCTAACCCTTTCACAAACATCCTAATTATATTGTGAAATTGCTGATATTTTGATTCCTGAAAATGTGTAAGAAAACGTATTTGGTTGTTTGAACAGCTTAATTTTTTGGTAATTATGGGTAAAACTTAAGAAAAACAACAAACAAAAATAAATTACATTTAAAACCCAACTGAAGCCCAAATTGAAAGTTTACACACTCAAGCTGTTCTAAACATATTTTTTTTTCCTATTTTGAACACAAAACAAGATATTATGAAGAATGTTGGAATAAAACGACAGCCAAAGTAATATTAAAAAAATACTATGGAAGTCAATGGTTGTTTACTCCAACACACTTCAGTGCATCTTTTGTGTTCAACAGAAGAAAGAAACTCAAGCAGATTTAAAACAGGTGGGGGATGAGTATATGACTAAATTTTCATTTCTAGTGTGAACATTTCTTTAATTTACCCAAATTTGTGTTGAAACAGCCCAGCATTTTTAGGCAAGGCAAGGCAAGTTTATTTATATAGCACATTTCATACACAATGGCAATTCAAAGTGCTTTACATAAACAAGAATAAAAGAAACAAGTAAAATAAAAATAAAAACAAATAATAAAAATGCATAAAAACAAAACAAAACATAAAAACAGGTAAAATGTGATATGAAAGAATGAAGAAGAAGAGAAAAACATGATCGGACGCAGCACAGTGCTCATTCAGTAAAGGCACAGCTAAACAGATGTGTTTTCAGTCTTGATTTGAATGTGCCTAATGTTGGAGCACATCTGATCATATCTGGAAGCTGATTCCAGCAGCGAGGGGCATAGTGGCTAAAAGCCGATTCACCCTGCTTTGACTGAACTCTTGGAATTTCTAGTTTATATGATCCTAATGATCTGAGTGATCTTTTAGGTTTGTATTCAGTGAGCATATCTGTATTGTATTGAGGTCCTAGGCCATTTAGTGATTTATAGACCAGTAATAATACTTTAAAATCTATTCTGAATGTAACTGGCAGCCAGTGTAAAGACCTGAGGACAGGTGTGATGTGCTCTGATTTTCTGGTTCTGGTTAGAATTCTGGCTGAAACTCTGACTGGTTATCAGATCTATAACCATGCAGTTTTTCTCTTTACAAAAACTATCTGGTAACTGCTTGTTGCTACAAATAGTTTTTCAGCACAGCTCATGCGGTAAACTCAAAAGTCATATTTTTCCAGCACAAACATGTTTGACCTCCAGCGGTCATCCTCAGCTCAGACGTCCTCTTTCTCTTGTACCGGCTGACCTTTCTCCATGAGATCGGCCCTTTATTCCTGCTCTCTGGCAGCTGTAAACACATTTTGTCTTAGCGGCATTACCCGGTGCCCGCGTGCCGACCCTCTCGCTGTGCCCTTGCTGTTTCATCCCTCATTTGTCTTTTCTCTTCCCAGGTGGTTGTTCACACCAGTGCGGGTGAGCGGCTGTACCGAATCTCTCCTTGGGCAAAGTATGTGACCAGGCATGAGAAGTCCGTCATCTATGATTGGGTGCACTGGGACCCTCCTCAACCTTACATTGTAAGTGATTATTTCCCCCCGTGGCAGTGAGACACAACCTGTTTATTTGTTAGTCATTACTTATTAGGTTTGCTTGGCTTTTAATGCCTCTGTTCTAATGATGTCTGAGAACAAGATCTAGTAAGTGGGAATTGTATGGAAGCTTAATACACAAAAATTAAATGCATAAATGACAATATAAAAATAATAAACAGAAAATAAATAAATTAATAAAAATAATAGTAAGAAAAATAAATAAATGAATCAATAAATACATAAATAAACATCATAACAGTAATAACAATAGTAAATAAGCATAAATAAATTAATGAAAAATAAAAAACCATAAATAAAAAACATTTAATAATAATAATCATAATAATAATAATAATAATAATAATAATAAATGAAGATAATTAATAATAAACAAAATAATTATAAATAAATGAAAATAATAATAAAATAAGATTAACAATAAAAAATAAAATCAATAGATACATAAATAAATAAGCATAATATTAATAATAAATAAGCACAAATAAATACATTCATAACTAAAAATATAAATTAATAAATAAAAAAATAAAAATTATAATAATAAATAAAAAAGCAAATAAATAATAAGTGTAGTAGTATCAGTAGTAGTAGTAATAATAATAATAATAATAATAATAATAATAATAATAATAAACAAAAATAAAAAAAACACTTGGAAACACATGGAAAGCATCACAAACAAAAAAAATCTTACAATCTGTGTGGACAAAAAAAGAAGTCAGTGTTTTAGCCTGCTGTGTCTCATCTTAAATTTGGATGAAGAATTATTTGAGAATGTTTCCTTGTCTTTTCTGTGCCAGCACAAGCATCCCCGTCCACAGAAGCCCAGGAGCTTGCGGATATACGAGTCCCATGTTGGCATTGCTTCTCCAGAGGGCAAAATTGCGTCCTACAGCAACTTCACCCACAATGTGCTGCCCCGCATCAAAGATCTGGGTAAGAGACTGCTTCACTAACACAAAACCGAGGACACAATGAGGCTTTGTGCTCAACTGACTTTTAAAAATTCTCAAATTGACTTTCAGGTCACTTTAACAGCTTTTAGTATGGTGTTTTGCTTAAAGGTTAAATTTATTTAATTTATTATTTTGCTGGGTTTTTTGTTTTGTTTGTTATTTTCTGTTTGTTTTTGTTTTAGTTGGTTAATTTTAGTTTGGTTTATTTTTTCTTTTGTTGTTTTTGTTTGTTTTTTTTGTTTTAGTTTAGTTTAGATTAGCTTTGTTTTCTTCTTTTTTGCTTCTGTTTTGTTCATTTTTGTTTTGTTTTTGTTTTGTTGTTTTGTTCTTGTTGTTTTGTAATTGTTTTTATTGATTTGTTTTGTTCTTCTTTGTTTTGTTGTTATTGTTTTTTGTTTGTTTGTTTTTTGGTTTAGTTGGTTTTGTTGTTCTTTTTTGTTATTTTGTTCTTTTTGTTTTGTTTATATTTTGTTCCTTTTGTTTTGTGATTGTTTGTTTTTGTTTTTTGTTTTGTTCTTTTTGTTTTATAAATGTTTTTTGTTGTTGTTTTTTGTTTTTTTGTTTTGTTACATTAATTTGTATTTTGTCATTAACATTTTACAAAACAAATATATATTCTGCTTTGATTTGTGTTGTAATTATTTGTTTTTCTTTTTTTTCTTTTAGCTTGTGTTATTATTTTTTTATAGCTTAAGAAACATTCAAACAGTATCATTTTAATGTTAGTTTAGTTGGCTAATATGTTTTGTTTGTTTTTGTCAGTTGTTTGTTTGTATTCATATTTCTTTTAGGTTCTTGTGTGTGTGTGTGTGTGTGTGTGTGTGTGTGTGTGTGTGTGTGTGTGTGTGTGTGTGTGTGTGTGTGTGTGTGTGTGTGTGCGCGCGTGTGTGCGTGCGCGTTTGTGTGTGTGTGTTTCTAGACTGATGTGCATGTGTGTTTGATTTTGTGTTCTTATAGTTTGCCTTTGTTGTACTACACTCTTGATTTTGCTTGAAAACAATACATTTAAACAATTCTCCCATTTTATACTTTCAATTTGACAAGCTTTAACACTCTTCCCAGCTCATTGTTTAATCAAATTATTTTAGGTGAAAAGAAGACATTTGACAGTTTAGACAAGGGAATATAATTTTCACACAGTGTTATTCTCTAGAAAAGACAGATTCATTTATTTCTCCTAACAAGAAGCAAAATGAATTCTATCAATAATAGCCCTTTAAAGTGCTTAATACTTTTCTATGCGTTTACAGAAATGTACAGTATCATGGCATTAAGTAAAATACCTTGCAATATCAGTGCTTAATAGATGGTAATCATTGATAGCATCACAGTAATATTTGTAAGGATGCAGACAGTTATTTTTAGCCCATAGAGGGGTGATGTTGTTCCTGCCAGTATCCGAGCAGCGCCGGTGCTTAACCTGACAGACCTGCACACTCATCCAACTTTTTCCTGCGGGTCAACACTCTGTTTACAGTGTGTGTAGTGTTCATTAGTGCTGTGCTGGAGAGAGCTGTGTTTCAGTGATCCTCAGGGTTTTGAAGATGCATAGGGCTTTTTCAAGTAGAGAAGATGAGCTGTGGGTTACAGATTGGGATGTTTTAATTGTTACAGAGACTTTTTTCCCAAAGTTAATACTTTTTGGCTTTGCAAATAAGTGGGTTTTTATTTTGCAGATGAAAAAAAGGTCCCAAGCAGGACCAGCACATCTGTGCATCTCAGAGCTCAATCCAAACAATCAAACAATTGTCAAATATAAAACCCTCCAGAGGTTCCCAAACTTTTCAGATTTTCTTTCTTCTTTTAAAGACACAAAAATATTGTAAAGAAAGCTGAAACTCTGAAAACTTAATACAGTTGAAGTCTGACTTATTCACCCCCTCTGTTTATTTTAAGAACCTAGGCACAAAGTCTAAAGTGCATGAGGCAAGCATCACTGTAAGTGTATGTCCGATTCCTCTTTTGCACTTTTTGAGGATGGAAAAATGTGGTTTGCGTCGTGGCGCATGGGCTAACAGGGTTGTCTCTTGTTCTCTAATTAGTTATGAGTTTATTTTGAGCATAACCTGCATTAAACCAAATAGAGTGTTTCAGCTCCCCTTATCTTCAAGAGTCAGTTGCATCATGCCATGGTGCCTTTTCTATTTACATAGTGAATATTGTTGGTGTAAAAACTGAACACTACACTTATAGTAAGAGAACAGCTTCCTCCTTTTGGCCTCTTATCTTTTTTCTTTTTACTCTTTACTTTCGTGGATAAGGAAGGGGTGTTGTACACTCCGCGTCTTGTGCCTTGTTGTGTCGGGTGTATGATACGGCCCCAAAGGTTTACTAACTCATTTCTAACAATTGATTTATTTTATCTCTGCCATGATGACCGTACATAACATTTTACTAGATTTTTTTCTAGATACCAGTATTCAGTTTAAAGGGGATTTTAAAGGCTTAACTTGGTTAGGTAATAAAAATATTGTTGGTAATAAAATATTACTGATAATAATATAAATTCCTTTCTCCGTTAAACATCATGTGGGAAAAATAAAAATAATAATAATAATAATAAATATAGGAGGGTGAAAATTTTGGCTTTAACTGTATATGTTTTGTGCTTGACAGAAGAATGAAAATGATAAATGTTTGGAACATGGGTGAGTAAATGATGACGGAATTGCAATTTATTAGGTGAACTATTCTTTTAAGCTCACTGTAAATACATTAAGTACACACACTCTTTTGTAAATAAAGTGCAACCTTTAAATAATAGAAACACAGGCTCATTAAGTGCAAATGAGCAATGTACACATGCACTCAATGAAGGCCACAAAAGACCCTAAGGGACCGCTGTTTGTAAACAAAATACTTTTTATAGAAATATCCTGGTGGTGTTTTTGAATATTAAAAAGACATTGAAAACCTTCCTAACTCCAACACTGTCAAAGAGACGTCAGCGTGCGTGCATGTTTACACTGTAAAATGACCGTCTTCCCATATGAAATCCTACAATGCCATTCACAATAACAAACATGATGATAGAATAATTCATGCATATGTCCGCGTGCTAAACCCGAGTGTTATCGCACTGCGTCTGCCGTTCCCTAGAGTTCTCATTGTTTTGAGCTAACCGGTTTGCATTTCCCTAGACATATGTGGTTCTGGCATCTAAAAAGCTGGGAAAAGAGCTCCGTGTGTGTGTGTGCGTGCGCGCACATGTGTGTGTGCATGTGCGCAAGTGCGTGTGTGTGTGTGTGTGTGTTTGTACGCTCACGCATCATCGGTGAGACGAGCCCCTGGCGCTGTCACACCTCATCAAAAATCCCCAAACTTTCTCTGAGGAAGATAGCTAGGAAGATAGATAGATAAATAAATAAACCAATCTGCTCAGAGGAAGAAAAAACTATACGAGACGAGGCTGGATCTCCCTCCTGAGTCTTTCCGTACCGTTTCAAAGCTGTGTCAGTGCAGCTAGTGCCTGCGTGGGGGAACCAAACACTGCTTTTGTGCTGGATTCGGGTGGAGAAGACTCGCGTATGACCCGATGAGTCATTCAGATGTTGGGTTATTTTGTGTTTCAATTATAATAAGTTGGTAAGTAAAGCAGCTTCTTTAAATGACTGTCATTGGTGTTTTCAATGATTTCATTGGAGCAAGAAAAGTGTTTCGCTGGTTTTGGAAATGGTCTGTGAACTGCATCACTGTTGAAGAATTAATATCCCTGCTGTGAATTTTTTTTATTTTTTTTTTCAAAGATTTTTTAACAGAGCAAGGAATTTTTCACAGTATTTACTAAATGTTTTTTTTTTTTCTTCTGAAAAAGTCTTATTTGTTTTATTTTGTCTAGAATAAAAGCAGTTTTTTATAAATAAAAAACAATTTAAGGTCAATATTATTATCCCCTTAGGAGATATTTTTTTGTGTAAAATGGCATGCCTAATAACCTTAAAGGTGCGGTAGGTGATCCGCCAAAATGCTAAGCGTTAGCATAATTGCTTTGAAAACACAGTCCCTCCCCTGCTGTCCAAAGCACGTCTACTGATATCACGAACGCGCACCCCAGTGACATCACCTGTTGAAGAAGTGCAGCAAGGAGGAGCATTATTGATGTGGTTAAAGGTGTCTTATGAAATAAAAAAAAATAGTCACATCAATCTTTCGCCAGAAGATTGGCCGAACAACACTTCTGTGCATATAACCCATTTGTAAAACAACAAAATCTACATAAGCTTTGTGTAACTAAAATACTTTTAAAACGTAACACTACCTGGCTAAAAGAAATACTTCAGCCATGTTGTCGTCCTTCCTCCAGCGTGCAAAAGTAACTCCTTTCTTTTTACTGCTGTCGCTGTCTTGTGTGCATTTTCACATAATTGATCTGTCTGTGTGAACAGGAGTGCACAAATTCTACATTTTTTTTGACTGACAGTTTGGGCTCATCTCATTTTCGTCCACTGTTTGTCCAGGCTGGGCCATGGGGGCAGCAGTCTTAGGAGAGAACCCCATGCTTCCTACTCCCTAGACACTTCCTACAGCACCTCCAAGGGGATCCCGAGGTGTTCCAAGGCCAGCCAAGAGACATAGTCCCTCCAGCATGTGCTGGGTTTTCCCAGAGGCCTCTTCCTGGTAGGACATGCCTGGAACACCTCCCTAGGTACAGTAGGCATCAAGTAGGCTTTCCAAAAAAGATGCTGAGCCACCTTAGCTGACTTCTCTCGTTGTGGAGGAGCCCTATCTATAAGGATGTTGCCTGCCACCCTGTGAAGAAAACTAATTTCCTTTTCTTGTATCTCAGAACTTGTCCTTTCATTCATGACCCAAGGCTCATGACCATAGGTGAGAGTAGGAATGTAGATTGACCGGTAGCTTTGAAAGCTTTGCCTTTTGGCTCAGCTCCTTCTTTATGACAGCAGACTGGTACATTGACCTCATTACTGCCGCCGCTGCACCAATCTCTCTGTCAATTTTCTTAGTCCTTTACTCATGAACAAAAAGTAGTCGTTACCTCTACTTGGGATAACGACTTTCCTCCAACCATGAGATGGCAAAACACCTTTTTCTGCTGGATCACCATGGCCTCGAACTTGGAGGTGCTAATTCTCATCCTAGCAGCATCATACTCTGCAGCAAATGTTTAAAAGTCTATGTTTGATGAAGCCAAGAGAACAGTATCGTCTGCGAATAACAGAGATGAAATCCTGTGGTCATCGAACGGGACCCTCTCCAGCCCAAGTCTGCACTTTTGAAATTCTCTCTGTAAAAATTATTGATTTAATTGGTGGCGAAGAGCAGCCTTGCCAGAGGTCAACATACACTGAAAACAAGTCTGACTTATTGCCGACAATGTGAACCAAACTCTTACTCTGTTCATACAGGAATGGGAGAGCCCTTAAAAGAGCACCACTGACCTTATACTTCCAGAGCACACTCCACAGAATGCCATAAGGGGAAATGGTTGTATGCCTTCTCCAACAGTGTGTGTTCCTTGAACAGTAAGAATGATTAATAAACACATATAAAACTTGCTTTGGCGCATTTTGCACTCACACACAAGCATAACGCGCCAAAGCCTAAGTGAACCTCGCTTTGGCACACCTCTTCCAATTGGGCCAGGGCCGGCCAAATGAACCGTGTCTAAACCCGATTCAGAGCACTCACACTTCTCTAACGATCCAGGAAATTACCCTGGGCACAGTTTGGATAGCATAGTGCGAGTATGCCCTTAATCTGACCTGTCACCTAAGACCTTTTTGCCTTGAGAGACCCTACCAGGGCCATTAACCCCCGACAACGAAGCTCTTAGGATCACTTAGGCACTCAAACCTCTCCACCATGATAAGGTCACGGTTCATGGAGGAGACGGTTTGGGCTCCTTATGAGAATTATGGGAATTACAGGCCTGACCAATTTTATTGGATGAACTTTTTTTTATCTCATGCCCTACTCAGAAAATAAAAATACATATTTACATTATTTAATTTAATCATTACTATCGGAATGTGAAAAGACTCAACCAGCACAACAAAAAAGGGTTTTGAAGACATTTTATTATTTATAACATTTTACATTTTATAACAATATTATTTTTTTTTATTGTCTACAGAACAAACCATTGTTCGACAGTGATTTGCCTGATTACTCGAACTTGCCTAATTACCCTTTTCAAGTCTTTCAGTGGTACTTTAAGTTAGTATACTAGTATCTTAAAGCATTTCTAGTAAAATATTATTTACTGTCATCATGGCAAAAAATAAAACAGTTCAGTTATTACAACTATTGTGTTTAGAAATGTTGAAAAAATATTCTTGGCGAAAGTTGTGGAAAAATATATAGGAGGTCTAACAATTCTAACTTCAACTGTATTTGGTGTAGTTGTGTTCAGTAATGTGTAAATTTCAATGTGTGTGTGAAATTTGGTAAGCTTTTCGCTTATAGTTGTTTCTCGTTAATGAAAAAAAACAAACAAAAAAAAAACAGATGTTTGTAAATGATGTAAAGCCGTTGTTCTCTGTGTGGGCATTTCCAGTTCACAGTTGCCATCGGGTCTAAAAAAATTCAGTAGCAGCAGCAGAATTTGTAATTTTCGGCTCCCACGTGCTTATTTGGAAAGTTAAAAGTGGCTAAAGTAAAAGTGTGCTGTAGGTAACGATTTAAAGGTTTAAGCTTCTTATAAGATTTAAGCTGCTTTAAAAGAATAGTTGATCCTGTTGAATTAATATGATGTCATTGTTTCCTCACCCCGCTCATGCTATAAAAATATGTGCTAGCTTTATTTTGGAAAAATATCATTAGATATGCGTTTATTTATTAATTTTTTTAATGTGATTTTAAAAGGTTATATATACATTTACATATATATATATATATATATATATATATATATATATATATATATATATATATGGTATTGTTGCAACTGACATTACAATGTATTGTTATTTGTTGTAATTAAATAAATTAATTGCTGCATGAAGTCTTTGTGTGATAAAGTCTTTTTTTCTGTGGAGCTAAAGTTTCTTCTGGCTGTTGTGTTTAAGAAAAGTCTCTCCTAACAGTTATGCTTTCTTTCTGTCTTATACACAGGTTATAACAGCATTCAGCTGATGGCCATCATGGAGCATGCCTACTATGCTAGCTTCGGTTACCAGGTCACGAGTTTTTTTGCAGCATCAAGGTAAACAGCTAAAAACTAGAAAGTCTTTAAATCCATTTTTAGTTTTGCTCTTGTCATGGTCTAAAATTCATTAGATAATCCTTTTGCTTGTTACAATACTATGATATGGTAGGTTGATACAAAAAAACTACTAACAACCGGATATTTTAGGAAAGATGAAATATGTAGCAGTAGGTTATATGTAAAGAGCTAAATATGCGAGACACTAAAAATGGAGCTGGAATACAGGAATCTTTCTGGAAAAACTAAACAAACAAAGAAACAGGATAACCGACATACATGACCTATGAGGCATTTTGAGCTTATCTTCACAGACACAATGTGGCTTTTGTAGAATTGCGCATCTTTTAAAGCCTCTCACTTATAAAAATGAGCTTCAAATGAAACTCTGAAGCTATAACTAAAACAAAAACTGTTCCTATATACATTACTTTTCTTCCCCAGTCCACTGTCCTGGATCATAATAAAAGCGTCCTTTGAAATTCTGTTGTTGTTCTGCGAAAACTTGTTCTGAATTTTTCTTAAAACTAATTCTAATATTCTTAAAACACTGAAAAAGTAGTAAAAAAAACTTTGTAAATAAAACACAAAAAATTACTTTAAAAAACTGACATAAGATTGACATAACGCAAGCCCTTCTAATATGACCATTAACCACCAGTGCAAATATGGATACCAGCAAAATATTAGCATGCTAAGCGAGACTGTTCAGGTATCAGGCTTTTTTCACTGTATACACTACATTAAAAAAGTCTTGTTGCCTATCCAAGTTTTAGCAATAACAAATTCTAACTTCTAGTTGATCATTTGGTATCAGAAGGGATTTATATAAAAGGCAAAGGCCTCTCGATTACACCTATTTTACTAATATTAAAATTGATCATGCCTTGATTTTAAATTATTTAATTAGGAGTAAGGTCTGACTTTGCTTAGCCACTTAACAGAAGTAGTGTACAGTATAAAATATAAAGTCATGGTGCACGGGAAAAACAATGAATATTGTGTATGACAATGAGCTTAGAGAATTGCATTCATACATCTCTGCAATGACTCGAATAACTTATTAATAAAGTCATCTGGAATGGCAAAGAAAATGTATTGCAGGACTCCCAGAGTTCATCAAGATTCTTTGGATTCATCTTTAATGCCTCCTCCTTCATCTTACCCCAGATATGCTCAATAATGTTCATATATGGTGACTGGGCTGGCCAATCCTGGAGCAACTTGACCTACTTTGTTTTCAGGAACTTTGATGTGGAGACTGAAGTATGAGAAGAATGAGAAGGAGCGCTTGTGCTGCAACGGGCAGCACAAATGTCTCGATTCCTCAGGCTGTTGATGTTGTCATACACTTTGCAGATCTCCCCCATATCGAATGTAACCCTAAACCATGATTTTTCCTTCACCAAACATCTGAAAAATCTACTTTCTGCCACTTTTACTAATGACAAACTAGAAGTCAAGTTATTATTTGATGCTCTTACGACGGGGATCTGCATCAACACTTTTGTCTGGTAGTGTAGTCTGGACAGAGACCATTTTACTGAAATGCAGCAATCGTTTTATTCCTAAACATCATTTGAAAACAAAACGTGCTAGTGTAAATACAGCCTAAGTAGTACAAAAAACAACCAAACAACACAATGTGCCAGCTGCTTATACTGTTAAATAAGCGAACAGTTGTAATAATATGGTAACACTTTAAGGATAAGTCATGAAACCTTTAAAATGATAACATGACACAACATGTATTTGTGTCATTCACTCAGTTATGCCATTTTAAATGCAGTGATATCTTTGTTTGAGACGTCTTCATGACAGCTTGACCTAAATACTTCATAACCCTGGGGTGTCAAACTCCATTCCTGCAAGGCCACATATCTGCACAATTTAGTTCCAACCCTAATTAAACACACCTGATCAAACTAATTGAGTCCTCCAGGCTTGTTTGAAACCTCAACATAAGTGTGTTGAAGCAGAGTCGGAACTAAACTGTGTAGGGCAGTGGCTCTAGAGGAACTGAGTTTGACACGCCTGTCATTATCTGTCAATGTCATGCCAACTTGACATTATCAAGACAACATATGTTGTCATAAATCTGTCATAAGCATGATTGTCATGAGGCTATTATAATTTTAAATAATTTTATAGCAGCATCAGTATCAGTATTTATTCTTGACCTCAACTTCAATGGCACTGTACACATTGAATTGAAATGAAATGATTCATTATTTTAATTATTCATTAATTTGTTCATTATTAAAATGTTCATTATTGACACTGTTATGGCCATTTTTTTTACACTTACAGTATTTATGACAGATAATTAACACTTTTAATGAGACATTTTAATTGCATTTAGTTTGTTCTACAAAAGAAAAAACCTTCAGAAAACTCTTCACTACAATTATAATGGCCTCATGACAATCATGTTTATAACAGATTTATGGCAAGTAACATTGTCTTTGTATAGCCTCATGACAATCATGTTTATGACAGGTTTATGACAAGTAACGTTGTCTTTGTATAGCGCCATGACAATCATGTTTATGACAGATTTGTCAATTAACATATTTGTAATGGCCTCATGACAATCATGTTTATGACAGGTTTATGACAAGTAACGTTGTCTTTGTATAGCGTCATGACAATCAAGTTTGATAGGTTTATGACAAGTAACGTCTTTGTAATGGCCTCATGACAATCATGTTTATGACAGGTTTATGATGTTTAGTTACGTTGTCTTTTGTAATGACTTTATGATATTCATGTTTATCACAGATTTATGACAAGTTACGTTGTGTTTGTAATGTCGTTGTCAAAAGAAACTGATATATTACAATGTATTTGTCAAGTTGTCATGACAAAGATATTTCAAACAATGTCACCTGTGCATTTAAAATGACACAGCTGAGCTAACGACACTTGTGTTGAGTACAGACTGCATGATTTTAGCCTCGATTTTGATTTTAGCCTCGATTTTGATTTTTGAAATTGCTGACAAATGCCTGAAATCACAGGCAAATCGGTGCTTGTGTATGCAAGTAACAATCACAAAGTGTGAACCATCAAGGAGGTGATTTCAAAGAATGATGATCCGCAGACACCCATCAGATATTTAGCATGCTAATTATCTGGACATGTTGGTGATTCAAGATGCCAAGATAATGCCATGTGAAATGTTCTATTTGAAAATAATATTGGCCTTTACCTACAGCCAATGAGAGAGCAGCATCCACTAGTATGGGTATCTGCAGGTCAGCGGGAGGTGGGGAGAGAAGGGCTTCTTTTTTTATCTATTTGGACCCAAGAAATGTAGACTTTTAGAACTAGTGGAAACTTGGCCAGAGAACCCATACATGTCATCTGAGCAATAACACAACTGGGTCGAAAAAGAAAAAAAGTTGAGGAGAAACTGTTAATTCTGTTCAAAACCCAGGTGAGCAAAATAAGTACATTTTCTACCCGAATAAAGGCTTCTTTCTTATTATGTAGTTAATTAAAATATATATACTGTGTGACCATGTTTTCATGTCACTTCTCACGTGTGTTTGGTTGTGAGACACACAGTTTGTGGGCCGCGACAAAGTTGTAAACAATTCTTCCTATTGTAAAGTCATGCAGTGTGAAATCCCCTGTCGCCGATCTATCCTATAGTTTAAGCACACTAGCGACAGAATGCGGCCTCTGATATTGATAGTGTGAAAACATCTGTGATGACTACTTTGAATATCATGTAGTTTAAACTTGGCATTAATGACAGTTGTCATAAGCTTGCACACACTCTCACTTATATTCATGATGTGTCATGTCTTCATTATAAAGGCATCATGGCAGTCTTATGAACACCTTAAGTAAGGTATTGCCAATAATAGTTGCAAATAACATCTTCGTTGCTTACAGGTTGCTAATTTAAAAGGTGGCCTGTTGATTTCTTCATATATTCAGGCATGTTTTCCATCCTCATATGCCCCAGATTTCAATCTACAACTCATCCATTGGAACCTAAATCTCCAAATTGGCACTAGGTACCCAATCCTAGTTGACCCTGATTAAAAAAGGCACTATCTAGGGATCCCAAAATGGTGCAATTCACTCATGTTTATCTTCTAAACGTATAAATGAGATAAGTGTAACATCCCTCAGTAAAAGCTGCAGGCACACAAGCATGCCATGAAGACTCTCTCAAGCAACTGTGGCCCCAAATCACAGAAAGCCTCCTCTGACGGGGCCGATAATCTCCCTGTAAACACATTTGCAGTTAATCCTGTGGAGAGGTAGAGACCTCAGATAAAGGAAGACAGGCAGGAATTCTTTATTTATGTGCTTTTATTCTGTCGGCTAGCGCTGGAGACAGCCTATAGCACCAGTATAATGTATACAGAGTAATTTCACCCATGATTGATCTCCCTGAGCCGTTTAAAAAGTGCAAGGTCTGGGTGTTGTTGTCACCCCGCGTCACGTTTGCCAGGGGGGAAAGCGATATGATGATAGCTGGAGGACAGATGAAGCTTCGCGGAGCAATTACATGAAGGAGGTACGTGAGGAAGCGCTGATGGAAGCGGGCCGCTTTCGCCCGTTTGTTCTGCGAGGAGTGATGCGTCATCCCGAATGGAGGACTTGACCTCTGTTCGGTGGCCATGACGGTGTAAACGATATGAGATTGATTTTTATTTACTGCCATATTTGTTTGTTTTTACACGCCAAATTGGCCGACGCGCTTGATGGATTCTCTGATGTGTTGGATATCTTCTGCTGGTGTGCTAAAAACACAGCCATTGTGGAGAGAATAGGCTTTCTGAGATGTACTGTGGTTGACTATCTGAGGTTATATGCAGATGGATGAAATCTCCAGTGGAGTGTTAACGAATGTTATGGGGAGATCATTTAAGAGGGGACTATAATTGCACTGTTTGTCTAAACATCAACAACACATTTTTATTTTCCCTATGCACTTTATTATTATTATTTTTTATGTAAATGCATTTTATGGATATGTTTAACTGTTACTCTCACATCTCACAGCATCATGCACGTGAACACCATGTTTTTTAGACATCCTGCCAAGTTGAAAGGTCTTCAACTTACTCAATCTGCACATTCAACACTGTCAGGTCCTTAAGCAGTGGATCAATCAGAAGAGCTCAGATTGGGGGCAACCATTGCGAACTTCTATTCATAGTACAAAGTTGGCATGACAACTGTATTATTAAACATTATATCTTGCCGGACGAGACACTTATTGTTGCTTTGTCCATATATTTTAGTTATATGAATCTTCAAGTGCTTATCATAACATATTGTATTTCTATTTCTAATGGGTCTGTTATTATCATTGTTGCATCACATTCATAATGCCGCATCACGTTCATAATAGTGCGTCAAGTGGACCTCATGCTGTGGTGCGCTATAGGCCTGTCATGATATTTATTTTTTGTTGTACGATATATTGCACCAAAATATATTGAACTAAATGATATTATTGTCATTTTTAAGACTATTTTATGCCACTCAATATATTATGCCAGCATGACAATATAATAGCATTTGAGTTGTCAGAGACCCGCAAGAAAAACACTATAGTTATTTATAGTAAATAGTGTTTTTTTAACCACTACCTCTAATAGAGATAGAGATGTTGCACAAACTGCTAAAACGTCTTGTAAAAAAAGTTTTGTAGTCAATCCGAGTTGTAAGAGCAACAAATAATAACTTGACTCTTTGTTGATCATTTGGATGAGTGGCAGAAGGTAAATTTTTTCTGTTAAACTGCATCCCAATCATAACAAATACTGCACAGAACCTATTTGAACCTCTATGGAGCCAAGAATCTGAGAGAAATCTGTCAAGTTTGGCGAAGGGAAAACCATGGTTTGGGGTTACGTTCAGTATGGGGGTGTGCAAGAGATCTGCAGAGTGGATGACAGCATCAACATCCTGAGGTATCAAGACACTTGTATTGCCCATTACATTACAAACCACAGGAGAAGGCAAATTCTTCAGCAGGATAGCACGCCTACTCATACTTCAGCCTCCACATCAAAGTTCCTGATAGCAAAGAAGGTCAAGGTGCTCCAGGGTTGGCCTGCACAGTCACCAGAGGAGGAGGAGGCATTAAAGATGAATCCAAAGAATCTTGATGAACTCTGGGAGTCATGCAAGAGTGCTTCCTTTGCCATTCCAGATGACTTTATTAATAAGTTATTTGAGTCACTGCAGAGATGTAGGGATGCAGTCCTCCAAGCTCATGGGAGTCATACACAATATTCATTGTTTTTCCACTGCACCATGACTTTATTTTCTATACTGTACATAATTCCTGTTAATTGACAAGATTTTTGTTTAAGCAAACTCAGACCTTACTGTCCTAATTGAATCATTAAAAATCAAGGGATAAATATATATATATATTCTGATGCTCATCATAGCTTTTATTTCATTGAAATCTTCTGACATCACCATTATTCCATCAGAGGCAAGATTTGGCTGCAGTGGCAATTAAATTTCCTGTGATATGCTTTTCAAATGTGAATTTTTTTCATTTTAAATTTGACAATCTCAACTGAAACATGAAGACCGGTTGAGATCTATAGTAGACTTTATTAAAAAGAATAAATAAATAAAGCTAGTAGCGCATAGCCATAAGCAAAGGAGGAGCATCTTGAAGGGGCAGTGCATGTCAGATACTATAGAACATTTGATTAGTTGGAACTTTGATGAAAACTGAAGTATGAGGTGATGTCAGAATTTTTTCTATCTTTTAAATGTGAATTGTGTCATTATTTTTCGAGCACACTCGCTTATAGATATCCTTAATATAAACATACTGATAATAGCATCTAAAAAAGGGAATTTCACAGACCCTTTGATCGGCTGTTTGTGAGCATGCCAATCCTGTGATCCAAAACAACAACTGTAGCCTAGAGTTATAGGAATCTTGTAGGATTTCACTCAGTTCACTCAGTTCACTCAGAAGTTCACTCAGACTACCAACTGGTGGGGGAAATTGCACAGTGTGAGGCATGCTTTAGACAGTGGCGTACACATATTTAGAGTTTGTGGGAGGAGAAATTTTTATTTTATTTACATTTTTTGTTACTTTACTTTTTTACTTTATTTTACTTGATATTAATTTATTTTGTGGGAGGAGAAATTTTTATTTTATTTTACTTTTACTTTACTTTTTGCTTATTTTGACTTTTACTTTATTTTATTTTATTTTTATTTTATTTTACTTTACTCAATTTGAATTTATTTTACTTTATATACTTAATCATTTATTCATTCATTTTATTTTAGGTTTATTCTCTTCATTATCCTGGGGTTGCCACAACGGAATGAACCGCCAACTTATCCAGTTTATATTGCATGCAGCGGATGCCCTTCCAGCTGCAACTCATTACTGGGAAACATCCATACACACTTAAGGCTGATTTATACTTCTGCGTCAAACGCCGGCGTTTGCTACGGTGCTGACTCATAGCCCTTCGCTGTGGCCGTCACCGTCACTGACGTGCACCTCTCAAAAAATGTAACTACACGTCGCAACAACGCGTAGCGTAAGCTCTGTGATTGGTCGGCTTGGTAGCGCTGACGAGTCTGGGCGGGACCGAGAGCCGCGCGAATGGCGCAAGCGATTGTTTACAAGTGTGGAGTCCTGTGAAGGAGCTCCGGATGGAAAGTTTTGTTTTGTGTTTACCTCATAGTTAAAGTTGTTGCACGTCCGCCGGTTCCTGCCTCAAAATGAGCAAGTTTGAGCCACTTGTACATCCCGGAAGTGTTCAGGAAAAGCAAAAAAGAAGCGAAGAAACTCGACACAGAGAAACATTTACACCTCACTGCCAACTAGCATTTTAAAAGTGTTAATGCAGACCGACAGAGACAGTGCGCAGAAGTATAAATGCACAGCCACGCACGTTGCATGCGCCGTGGGTTACGCCGGTCACCTGACGCAGAAGTATAAATCAGGCTTTATACACACACATATACATTATGGACAATTTCTGCTTATCCAATTCACCTTTAGCGCATGTGCTTTAGCACACCTATAGCACCCATAGGAAACCCACACAAACACAGGGAGAACATGCAAACTCCACACAGAAACGACAACTTCCCGAGGTGAGGCTTGAACCAGTGGCCTTCTTTTCTTTTCTTTTTCTTTTCTTTTTTCTTTTTCTTTTCTTTCATTAGTCAGGGACATTGCACATGAGCAGAGATCTTAGGTTGTGCCAAATAAGTGTGTATATGGAAATATTTTATCTTCGTTTGCTGAAATGAAAGCTACATCGAGAAGCCCCGCTCTATTCAGAAAACCCACCAGTGCATCGTGTGCTTTGCAAATCTGAAAGTCATTTTTGAAAGAATTGCCTTTAAAGGCCAAACTGCTGCAGGAGTTGAGGTTAACCCCGGAATAAGACAGGCAGTCTCTGATTTCTGCATCCGTTTGCTCTTCTTTCCAGCCGTTACGGGACCCCGGAGGAGCTGAAGGAGCTGATTGACGTGGCTCATTCTCTCGGCATCATCGTCCTGCTTGATGTGGTGCACAGCCACGCGTCCAAAAACACAGAGGACGGCCTGAACCTGTTTGACGGCTCCGACTCCTGCTTCTTCCACAGCGGGCCCCGTGGAGAACACAGCCTGTGGGACAGCAGACTCTTCAACTACTCCAGGTAAGACCAGCATTTCTTTTACATCTTTTTTTCCCTGAGTTACACATCTCTCTCATCGTACAACACCTTTCTTACAAGGCAAACACAACACTTTTCTTACAACAGAGCACAAGCTCTGGTATGGGACTGAGGCGCTGTTTCAAATCCTATAGGAGCAACACAGAAATGCTTTCTGTTCCAATATTTATTCTGCCTTCTATGATACGTTCAAAAGTAAATCATTGATGTACTTTAATAAAATGATAACATGCTTTTCCATACGTGTACAGTTTTGAAGTCAGAACTATTAGCCCCCCGTGTATTTTTCCCCCAATTTCTGTTTAACGGAAATAACACATTTCTGAACATAATACTTTTAATAACCAATTTCTTATAACTGATTTCTTTTATCTTTGCATTAATGACATATAATAACATATGCATAATGTTATTAGATACTTTTAAGACACTAGTATTCAGCTTAAATTGTGATTCAAAGGATTAACTGGGCAATTAGGCAAGTCATTGTACTGTATAATTATGGTTTGTTCTGTAGACAAAAAAAAAAATATATATATATATATATATATATATATATATATATATATATATATATACACACACATTTACACACACACACACAGTTGAAGTCAGAATTATTGAAGTCAGAATTATTAGCCCCACTTTGATTTTTCTTTTTTTTCTTTTTAAATATTTCCCAAATTATTTTAAACATTTTATTATTATTTTTAATATTATTTTTACAATTTTATTATTACTATTATTATTGAAAATGTATTTTTATTATATTTTTAATTATGAACGACTTTGTTCTCCTTTTTTTTCTCACTGTTTACTGCTTTTTGACTTTTTTATGAGTATAACTTTAAGTATACAGATAAAAGCATTTAATGAATGCATTAAACCATGCATTTTTTTTAAATATGTAGTTTAAAGTTTAGCTTTAACATGACAGCTATTTTTATTTTTAATATCTTGCATATGCTTAAGGCATTTTATTTGCTCCAAATATGTTTATTTTAATAGGAAACTCTTGAGTTTACTGTCTTGGAACCCTACGAGTGTGTATGTGTGTGTGTTCTTGAGCTGTGCTCACGGATCATATCTTTGTAATTAATAATGTGGCATGGAATTATGCTTCCATAATTAGTTCACCTCATCAGCACTTTTGTTTGGCCATAATCAAGCATTAACATGTCCTTATCTCGCGCAACGGAATATTCATGTAAAATTCTTAAAGCGTTTAAAGATGCTTTCCGTTTATGAATAATCATTATGGTATTTGCCCATTTAGGCTCATTCAACTCTGAAAACAAAGAGGCGATGAGAAAGAGCTAAGAGGCTTAGAAACGTGGAACCCACAGTAGACCAAGTTGAAGAAAAGTTCTGTCAGTATTTACTCTCCAGGCTCATGTGGCTGTCTTCAGTCAGACAAAAAACTGAGATATTTATGCTGCTTAAGGTGGATGGAAAATAAATTGATAACCATTAACAACCTTAAACTGAAGACATTTTCGTCTCCTATACTCCTGAAAACAAGCATCACATATTGATTATCACATAATCATTTTAATTAAATTTTAGCAATAATGAAACAAAATAATGATGAATTAATAATGTTAGCATTTAGAAATAATTATAAAAACTATAGTACAAAATGTCAAGTGGTTAGTAATCAGTGTAAAACCTACTGTAGCAGTAGGATTTCCCATGATGCCCTACGAGAGAATTCATGAACGAGAGTGAGGTGACGCAACTGATGCAGGTAGGTCACATAACCATGACAAAATAGCGGATGTAGTACAGTCGAATTCCATTCACACTTTTCACAATCATACTGTATAGAACATACTTTTCTAACGGCCCAGTAGTACGTTTAAATTTAAATGCAGTACCTTCTGAGTAGTAGGCGGTTTCGGATGGAGCATATTTCATTTATTCAGTCTGGAAGACTCTCAAACCATGCGCCCGTGATCGAAAGACGACCTTCGGTGGACAGTAGCAGACTCCGAAATGAGACACAGATTCAGAGTTCCACATTAGGTAGTTATTAATTAGCAAATATCATCAATATTACGAATGTAAACATTAGGTGAGCATGTTACATTGTGACCATGTGTCCTAACAACATGCTATGTGGCGAGATTTGCAGTGATAAGCTATATGGCTGTTTGCACCAGACTAAACACGACAGGAATTTAAATACAGCCATTCAGAAGTACAGAACACTCACAAAATGATTAGGTGTATAATCGAATTATTACATCTAAAACTTCTTTAACATTATTAAATGTACATGCTGAATCACTGATAGTGGTTATTATTATTTTATTTTCAAGATCTGAGGTGAACTGTCTGCTGGTGCTTTCAGTAGTATAGCAATAAATGCCATGTAAAATGTCATTTATTGGCATATAGTCTCACTTAAGGTCATCAGTCTGGCAACCTGCGCTTGCATTTGTTTTGATCCAGTAATGCAGTACCTAGTTCAACCACTGGGTGATCAACTTGCATACTGCACCCTTAACATCTTTTTAGAGAGGTGCATGCTGAAAGTATGTGTTATTTGCTTCATTATTTTTTACATGGGTACACATACATGGGTACACATAGCAGAAAAAAAAACAATCAATAACGATAACAATTTTGATGAAAATAATAAAAAAGTTATATTATATATATATATATAATAAAATAGAAAATAAAATAAACAGTATACATGTTAAACAATAAAATAGAGGCATATATATTTATATAAAACATAATACAGATGTGTTCACTATTTAACTCGTAGTTTGTGGCATTTATAATATATAAAAATATAATTATAAATAATGCATATAGTAATAGTAAAATTATTATTAATAATAATGATAATAATAATAATATAATGATAGTAATAATAATAATAATAATAATAGAATTTTAAGTGAATTGAATCGATGTTATGCTCTCACGCTCTCTCTCTCTTAAATACTATTTTATGAAAATCAAAACTATTTTAAATGTCAATAATATTTTAATATTTATGTATCGTTTATTGGTCGCTAATGTGTGTCTTTTTATTCTAGTCTGCCATTTCCAGAAAAGAAAAATAATAATCTGATCTATAAAGTACAAATAAAACCATTTTTGATTACCTGACGTTTCTTGGTGTTGTTCTCTTATTTAAATAATAAATGATAGAACTAAGCAAATTAATAATTAATATATATTTTATATACTGACAACAGTGGCATAATACAGTGAAATAAAATGCTCTTTAGTCGTATTAAAATACTATTCATGTGTGTGGGTAAAATTTACACGCATGACGGTTTTAGGTACAGAGTGACCTTTTGGCGGTTCTAGTGTTAAAATTTATAAATGGAGCTAATTTCGCTACAACTGTCAATCCTGGGACCTTATATAGACAGTTATATGCTTTTTTAATTAATGTTCAATCAACTGAATTTACCGCAGGTGAACTACAATTAGGCTGCTTAAACATCTCAAGAATGATCGGTGGAAACAGAATGTACTTGAGCTCAATTTAGAGGCTGTGAATGCTTATCTATGAATACTTTTCTTTTTTTTAATACATTTGCAAAAATATCAAAAAATCTTTTTTCACATTATCATTAGGCGGTATTGTGTGTAGGGTTTTGAGGAAATAAATGAATTTAATCCACTTTGGAATAAGGCTGTAACAAAAAAAGTGAAAAAAGTAGAACACTGAATACTTTCCGGATGCACTTCAGTTCTCTTCACAACCACATGCGGTCCCACTTTATATTAAGTGTCCTTAACTACTCTGTACTTGCATCAAAAAATAAATACAATGTACTTACTGTGTTCATAATTTATTTGAGAACACTTGTGGTGCTCTTGATTTGGGATAGAGGTTGGGTTATGGATAGGTTTGGTGGTATGGGTAGGTTTAAGGGTGGGTTAAGGTGTAAGGGATGGTCAACAGTGTATTTACAAATGTAATTACAGAAGTTAATTACAGATGTAAATGCATGCAGGTATTTAATCAAGCAGAAGTACACAATAAATACATGCATTTACACAAGTACATTGTAACAAACTATTTATTCCTGTGTAAGTACATATTAGTTAAGGCCACTTAATATAAAGTGGGACCCCATATGCCAGCTAATATGTAAATTTTCTTTTTATTATTATTATTATTTCTTTTTCTCTTTTTTTTTTTTTTATTTAACCCATACTGAGCGAGTCTTTAAATTGGAACACCTACTGTACTGTATTTGCCTCTGGCTGAATTCCCATCGCACTGTCTTGGGCTGACAGCAATTACTTCAATCTTGTATATGAAACCTCTCTGCCAAAGCACAGTGTGAATTCTCCATCAATATGTCCTTCCTCATTGTTCAGCGCCTTTGTCTCTGCACCTCTGTTATGCTACCTACAATTCAACTAATCACTTTCAAAATGCAGTAATTGCCACAGCATTCTGTTTTTAATGGCACACTCAAAATAATAAATGCTGGCTATTTGAAAAAAAAATATTGCATATTTTTCCCACAAATTAAAAAGTGACATGGATGAAAGCTGGATTCCTTGGATCAGATTTTGCTTCTACAAAACAGCAGCATAACTAAATGATAGATGATATTCAGTTAAGTATTCACTATTTTAAGTATTACCACATATTATACTGTCTTGAAATATATACTAGGTCAATGTAAGATTCTGATGGTATGATAACCTTGGATAGAAATATTACAGTTTAATGATTTTTGTGATAACTGCTATAAAATGTTGTTTTTAATATTTGGCTACAAATAAAACAATTTTTCCCCTGTTGAACACCATGTATTTTATTTTAAGACGCATCTAAAATATTTTGGAGAAGTGAAAGTGTCAGGCTAAATAGTTAAAAATAAATTATTGACTTCTGCTGTCTTCATTAATTCAATATCTTTTCTTTTGCTTTTAATATATGAACTTATCTTTACGCTTAGCCAAAACACGTTAACTGACAGATTCAAAATAGC